CGGCTTTTTTCTTTTTGCTTATGTGGTGCTGAGGAATCGAACCCAGGGCCTCATGCATGCAAGGCAAGCACTCTACCACTGAGCCACCTTCCCAGCCCAAATTTTGAAATTTTTTGACATTTGGAAAAGAACCAATAGAATATCTAGGAATTAAAATGTAACTTGAAATGAAAAACTGAGTAGATATATTAAAAATCACATTCTACTCTTAGTCAAGAATCTTAGTTAACTAGCAGACTTGAGTATATTGTCTAGAACACAGCAGGGAAAAGTAAGGAATAGAATGTACCAAAGTACAATTGAAAGATATGAAAGGCAGACCTAAAAGAAAGACCAAAGGAAGAGAAGAAAGGAATGAGGGAGATAGATCATCGCTAAACATTTTGAAAAATGGAGACATGAGAAGTACCACAACTTCTGAATATGATGGTGAATGAAAACTATGCTGTATCTAAATGCAGGTTAGCATAACTGTAAGATGTCCTAGGTTAAAACAAAACGAAACAAAAAATGTTTTAAAAGCAGCTGGAGAGGAAAAAAATATATCACAGTAAATAATCAGGCAGAAGATTTTTAATCAACAGCAATGTAAGTCAGAACCTATGCAATAACAGCTTCAAAAACTAGAAAGAAAATAACTGTCAATCAAGCCACCTTCCATTCCTTCTCTATTTATTCTTACTCGGAAGATCAAAGGTGTGCCAAGAGATGACAGACTTGCCCAGAAATAGCTAGGATTTGCAAATACCAGTGACACTTGGGAAGATGCTCAATCCAGTAGAAACTGCACTTGATTCCAAAACCTGACATGGGACAGACGACCTAGACGTGAGACTCCAGAAGCCTGGCTTAGGAACATATTTCTAGTCAAAAGTTGGCAGTCTTTGTGTCACAGGCTTAGACAGAATTATTTAAACAGGTCAATTGAACTCCAATATATAATCTGTGGAATCCATTAACTGTGTCCAAGTACTGGCTTAGCTTTTAGGAGCTAAGTGATCTTGAGCATGTTACTTTATTTTTCTTTCTGACTTAGTTTCTGTACTTACAGAACTTACACAGTTCAAAAAAGATTAAATCAACAAAGATATGTAAAATATGTACCCAGCACATAGGAGGGGCCTAATAAGTCCCAGTCATCATTATTACTTAATCTTGACTACAATATAGTAATTTGACCATGGAGTCCCAGTTAGTATAATTAGTTAATCATGACTATAATGCTGTAATTTGATCATGTAGTTTGACTTATCCTTAGTATGATAAAAAAAATTGCAATAGAAGAGGCACATACTCTGACATCCACTGAGCATCCCACAGTCCATGAGGGATTTCCTAGTACTTGATTTTGACACAGAAGGTGAACTAGTGAAGATTTCCCCACACCTGTAGAAAATAAAAGAACTTTAGTCATAGAAAAGACATGTTAGAATCCATTATGATAAGTGACTGAGAATATTCAGGAACAGAGATATTTAAAATGTTCTTGTTAGCCAGGCACAAGTGGCTTACACCTGTAAGGTTCTTGAGATTTCATCTCCAAAATAACCAGCAAAAAGCCAGACTGAAGGCATTGGTAGAGTGTGAGCTGAGCAAGAAAGCCCAGCAAGCACAAGATCAATACTGACAAGAATATCAGTAATATCCACTTTGTTAAATAAAGTGAAGATGATCAAGTGTAGTGATGCTCTTTAAATTTAGCATGAGACTTGAGGTTTTGCTAAAGCAAGACAGAATCTTGAGTTCTGACTTTAGAATGTGGAGTTCTCTTTTAGGTAAGTCTGTTATGGGGTTCAAGATTCGGTACTTCTAATGTGAGGCTACTGGACTGGGGCCTAATTTTGAGAACCACTGGGCTTGGGTAATTTCACATGAATGAATCCCCTCCTTTTGGATGACTTGATCTATTAGTGTACTTTAGAATTACAGAATCTTAACAGATCATGCTGAGGTCCCTTCTGTAACATCATTAGGTTATACTTGAACACTCAGTGAGAGAACTCACCATCTCATGATTCCTTAGTCAGACATTGCAGTTCTCCCATTCAGTGATTTTATTTATTTATTCACTTACTTACGTGGCGGGAGTAGGGTTTGAACTCAGGGTATCATGCTTGCTAGGAAGGTACTCTAGCACTTAAGCCATGCGACTGGAAATTTTTGCTTTAGTTATTTTTCAAATATGGTCTTGTTTTGGCCATCCTCAATCTAAAACTCTTTTACCTTCACCTTCCATATAGCAAGGATTATAGATGCAAAGCACCATATCTAGCTTGATATTTGAGATGCAGTCTTGCTAACATTTTGCCTAGGCTAGACTGGAACTACAATCCTATTTTTGCTATCCACATAACTGAGATTACAGACAAGCTACTGCACCTGGCTCACATACAGTAAAAAAGCAGCTATCCACTTGGCCTAGAACAATTCTATTCTCTTTTGTATGCCCTGGCCCTTTACTCTGAGGCAGTACTATATCTCCTTTAAAATCTCTTGGGCTCAGGGAAATCTAGTTACCAATGCGAACAGGCAGCACTTGGAGATCTAGATGAAAGGGAATCGGAAATCCTCCCATCCCCATATCTATGTGTGGAGTCTCTTCTTATCCTTTTGAGGTTATTTTGGGATTCCATAATGACAAGCCTAATTGGTAATTTTATGAATTGCTAATTGTGTGTCTCTTTGTGTGTATTATTATGTATAAACCTATTAGAGTACTAAAAAAAAATCACTGGACGACCATAAGTAGGGTTTTTCTATAAGGAGACAATCATTGATGATATATTAAAAAATATATATGGTAGACAATCCAAATAATACAAGCCTTTGCTTATACAGCTTGTTCTATCTGGAATATCTTATCCATCCTCTCCCTCTATCTGGCCTTTCCCATTGGTCTGGTGAATTATTCAAGACTGAGCACCATTCTAATTACATTTTCTAACGCCATACAGATAGAACTAAGAATAGCATCCACCAGGCCTCCACTGTGTCCTGCACATTTTCTTACAGAGCACTTTAAGCACATTATTACTTGCTTGTTCATGGGTTTGATTTACTCTGTTTAAGATCCTTAAGGAGGGGTTGGGAAGGTGGCTCAGTGGTAGAGTGCTTCCCTTGCATGTATGAGGCCCTGGGTTCAATTCCTAGAGCCACATAAGCAGAAAAAGCCAGAAAGTGGTGCTGTGGCTCTAATGGTAGAGTGCTAGCCTTGAGCTGAAGAGCTGAGGGACAGTGCCCAGGCCCAGAGTTCAAGCCCCACAACCAGACCCCCCCCCCCCAAAGAAAAAAAGATCCTTAAGGATTGAGGCCAAGTTTTACTCATCTCTTTAACTCTAGTACTCAGCAAAGGACACTTTCCCCCCTATTATAGTAAATTTGCATAATATTATAGAAGCTTCATAAAAACCTCTTTTTTTTGCCAGTCCTGGGGCTTGAACTAAGCCTTGGCATTGTCCCTGAGCTTCTTTTGCTCAAGGCTAGCACTCTCCCACTTGAGCCACAGGGCCACTTCCAGCTTTTTCTGCTTATGTAGTGCTGAGGAGGAATTGAACCCAGGGCTTCATGCATGCTAGGTAAACACTCTACCACTAAGCCACATTCCTAGCCATAAAAACTTTTGATATCTCCTCAGTATTTCAGAGTAAATATAACAAGTTACTGTTCTCCTATTATCAGATTGCAAGTATTTTGGAAATATTAAGACACCAAAATCTTATTCTTTACCCTTTTGTTCAAACTTAAAATTATTTTCTTAGTCTATCTTTCTATAAGTAAAATCAATATGTAAAAGAAAAAAAAAGCATTTTCAGTTTCTTGAGACATATTGACAAAGGACTTCCATCTGGTTACACTGCTACCAGCCAAACACAGGAGCCCACAGACCTTGTTTCCTCTCAACAGTTGGTTTTTCATTTTCAATGATTTGAGAAGAAAAAAACCCAAAGTGGTATCTTGCTTTACCCTTACTTTCCCGGTAGAGATATTAAATCATTGTTGCAAGCAAATCAATATTCTTTCCTCTCCTACAAATTCTCTTGTTAATTTCCTCAGCCCATTCAGCTATTGGGTTAAGTAGTATATTTATATGATTTTTTTTCCTCCAGTGTTGGTGATCTAACCTAAGGTCTTGCATATACTTGGCAATACTCTACCTCTGAGCTACATACCCAGTCTTATATGACCTCATATATTAAAGACATAAACCACCTCATGTAATGAAATCAAACATCTTCCCAGGTTTCCTTTTTATTCTTGTGGCTTTTTTACATATAGACATTTAAAGATTTCTAGCTGGTGGCTGGTAGCTAATGCCTGTAATCCTAGCTACTGAGGAGGCTGAGATGTAAGGATCATGGTTCAAAGCCAGCCTGGATAGAAAAGTCAATGAGACTTTTATCTTCAGTAAACTACTCAGAAAAAGTTAGAAGTAGCACTGTGGCTCAAGTGGTAGAGTGCTGGCCTAGAGCATAAATGGCTCAGAGACAGCGTCCAGGTCCTGAGTTCAAGCCCCAGACCAGAAAAAAAACTTCTGAGCATTCAAAACTTAAGTTGTTTTTTTTTTTCAAACTTAAGTTTTGTCATTGTATTTTCTGCATTACATCTGTTATCTATGGGATAGATTGGTGACTTTTATGTGTGCATATATTTTAGGCTGCAGGCATATACTCGTTATCAGCCGGACACAAGGCTTCAGCCCCAGTTTTGCCTTAATATGCCACGTTAAACATCTCTATGCAGGGATATGGAATAACTCTCCATGAATTAACTGTTTTACATGTATTTGCCAAACAGCAAGAAGAGCTGAAGTGCTCAGGAATAGTGGCTATTTGTTTCTTTAAGAATTTGGGAGGCTTTCTTTTCACTTTAGAACTAAATTAGATCAGAAGAATGACCTTGATTTGCTTCAAGGGAAAAAAAATCCAGTATAATCAAATAAATGTCAGATCCAAATATAGCTGTTGGTAATTTGTTAAAGCTCACCCCTAATCTCTGAAAGAACAAAGAGAAAACAGTACGTGTAAGTTACAGAGACTTTCAGGATCCTTTAATAAGTATTCAAACTACTCTAGAATAAAAAAGAAGCCTCTAAATCTCAAGTCATTCCTTTCTATATTTGTGAAACTCAAAATTTCACAGGGGAAACAAGCCTTTATTCAGAAAGAAGTGTTGAAGTCTGATTATAAAGTCAAAGTGTATTTTAATCTGTCAGATAGAAACACTGTTAAAGGAAATTGGTAAAACAACGACTGACTTTGCACATATAGCCTAACAGTGAATGTGTGACAATATCAATCCCTTTCCTTATGGACTGTGTTCTGTTCTACAGCTGTCTTGTTTCACAACTAGACCTTAATGAGGGGGAAAAAAACTCACTAACTGCCTATTTAGCCACTTTTAATGAAGCAGCTGATTCTCCCTGTTATGTAAATGCACTGACTCTATACCTATAACCCTACCATCTTGTGTAGTATATGTTGAAAAGCAAATTGCTTTCAACAGTATGAAACATGAAGCAATTGTTAGATAATAGAGAACAGAATTTATAGCTAGGTTTCGGTGGCTCCCCTGTAATCCTACTACTCAAAGTTTAAAGCCAATCTGAGACTCTATCTTCAATTAGCCAGCAAAAAAGTTAGACTGGAAGCCTGGCTCAAGTGGTGCTAGCTTGAGCAAGAAAACAGGGCAAAATTGTGAAGTCCTGAGTTCAGGCTTCTGTACCACTGCAGGGGGAAAAAAACCAGAATGTGTAGTGCTCGTACACACCTACAGTCCAAGCTAAAAAAAAAAAGACAAAGAAGGATTGACATCTAAGGCCAGTCCCGGGCAAACCCCCACAAGAGGTGGTAGAGTTCTTTCTTGCTGAGTAAGCACAGACTTTGAATTCAAAACTCTAGCGCTGTTCCCTCCTCTTCCATCATAAAAATGGAATTATAGAAGAGATAGTACATATACTTTACTTATCCTGAAGAATTGCTATCTTGGTGACTCAGCGATCCTCTTGCTGAGTCCTTTTAGGACACCATTATTTCCTCCATCTGTTAAACTAAATGATTTTATTAAATTGACTTCAGTATTACTTCAAGTTACATGATAGTAAAAAGATAGTTGACAAGCCAGTTGCAGTAGCTCAAGCCTGTAATCCTAGCTACTTGGGAGGTGGAAATAGGGGATAGTGGTTCCATGCTGGCACAAGCAAAAGAAGTTTGAAAGATTCCATCTTGACTAATGTCTGTGTGTGGTGGTGTGTGCTTGCTATCCCAGCTATGGGAGAATCACCATGACTGGGAACATAGGTGCACTCTAGTAACCCAGAGAAGCACAAGTAGGAAGATTGCAGCTCAGACTGGTCTGGGCATATGTGAGACCCTACCTTAAACCCAATGGAAAAGGGGGCTGGAGGTGGTTTCAGTGCTTGCCTACATGTAGGCCCAGAGTTCAATCTCAAGTATTGCCAAGAAAAAAAGAAAAAAGAAATGAAGTTGACATACATTGGGATTGTCTTAATAGATTTACAAAATCTGAAACTTATTTTTGCAGTATTTTTTTTTCTGAAACTTGAACTCAGAGCCTGTTCACCTGTGTCTGTGCTTTTTGCTCAAGACTAGCACTCTATCACTTGAGCCACAGCTCTATTTCTAGCTTTTAGGTGGTCAATTGGAGATAAGAGTCTCATGGCCTATCCTGCCTAGGATGGCATCAAACTGTGACCCTCAAATCTCAGTCTCCTGAGTAGCCAGGATTACAGTTGAGAGCCACCAGTGCACAGCTGCAGTACAGGATTTTGAACTTGTTAGACAGGCACTCAAGTCCCATTTGCTTGGGTTAATTTTGAGATAGGTTCTGTTACCTTTTGCTTGAACTAGCCTAGACCAATCCTCCTAAATAGGCTTCCCACCATAGCTGGAAAGACAGGCACATACCACCACTTTTTTTTTTTTTTCTGTTAAGATGCAGTCTTCTCAACTTTTTTTTTTGTCTCAGCTGGAATCCTCCCAATCTTTACTTACCATATAGTTGGTATAAACATACACCACCAAATCCAGCTACTAGTTGAAATGGGGTCTCATGAACTTTTTTCCCTTTTCTTTTTTCTGGTCCTGGGCTTGAACTCAGGGCTAGGGTGCTGTCCCTGAGCCTCTTTGTGCTCAAGGCTAGTGATCTACCACTTGAGCCAAAGTGCCACTTCCAGATTTTTCTGAATAGTTTATTAGATGTAAGAGTCTCACAGACTTTTCCTGCTGGTGCTGGCTTCAAACAGCAATCCTCAGATATCAGACTTCTGAGAAGTCAGGATTACAGATGTGAGCCGCCCGTATTAAACTCCTTTTTTTAAATTTTTTAAATATTTAAAAACTGTTAGAAAAGGGTTCCAGTTCAATATGCCAATTTATGAGTATGAGGCATTTTGATCAGTGTCATCCCTTTCATTATTATTATCATCCTCACCTCTCCCAACCACACCCCTCCCCTCAAATTACCTAGTTCCATTTTCACATATGTACACTGAATGTAATGACTGTATTTGCCACTAGTCACATCTCCATTTGTCTTTCCCCCTTTCTTACTCCCCTCCCCTCAGACAAAGCATAGTTCAGTTTCCTAGCACTCATTTTGTTGAACTGTCAGTTAATCAAAGGACTTCTCCATGGAGATCAGTTTGTGTATATAACCATATGACCCTCTATCATGAAGTTTTGCCTGAGCTGGCTTCAAACCCCCATCCATCTTCACGATGGATCCTCTCAGCCCCCTGAGCTAGTAACTAGGATAACAGGCATGAGCCACCAGTTCTGGGCTCCAAAAGGTAATTTTCTCAGAAGACTATTAAATAATGTTGTCTGTAAATATTTTGTAATGCTGTTAATCTGGCAACCTAATATACTGACTTCACTCTTCAACCACAATTATGTATTTACTGTAGCGCTAGTTTTCAAGCTGGGTGTGTGTCCATTTTCTCTACCTGTAAATATCATCATTAGCACAATGTCTGTTTACAGCCCACTGAAAAGGTCAGCTCCAGAAAAGCACACTTACAAAATGCACGGTTAGCATTTACTCAAGTTCCTAAGCAGAGTTGGACTAGAGGTTATGGTAGGAAAGAGAAGGGAAGAGAGAAAGGAAAGAGGGCATTCAGACTTCAACTGTTGTTCTAAAAATGTCCAAAGTGTCAAAAAAGGTTCTAACACTAGGTTAAATTGCACCGAGTCTTTAATCTGAATTTCACCATTCCCCAAACCTAGCACGTACAAAGTTTTCAACGGATTATGCCAGAGCCAGGAAATCGAGGATAAGTTAAGAGTAAAGCTTCGTACAGCTTAGTATTTTAAGCCCGTGGACTCTGGGTTCAAGCCAGCTCTGCGATTAGAAAACTTGACAGTGTCATTGTCAATCTTGTCTGTCATTGTTAGTGCACAGCTGACGAAATGAACAAGATCTGTACTACACTCAAAGCCTGCACACTTCTTCTTCTTTTTAATAAAGGAATTAACAATACACCTTTCGCTTTGGCCCGAAAGTTAACGTGGGAACACGCGATGGCGGGGAAGAGCCCGGACGGCGCGCCCCAGCTCGCGCGATCCTGCAGCCGCCCGGTCCAAAGGAGCAAAGGCCTCTGGGAAATGTAGTTTTAAGACCCTGGGAGAAACTTCAGCCACGGACTGAAGAGACAGGAAGATAGAAGTAAGGCAACACGGAATTAGGAGTACTGAAAAACTCTAAAGTGTCAGGAGTCCCAGAGGTGGGTTAAGCCGCTCACCTGAGTCTCCCAACACCAGTACCTTCACCCGATCCAGGGACGCCATCTTGCCACTGTCTCCCCGGGAGTTAAGACCTCTTCCGGGATTCTAGGCCAATCAGAACGGGGCATAGGGGGCGGCACCCTTATTTCATTGGCTATTCAGGTCGTGACTAAGTTGATTGATGGACCCGCGGTTCTGATTGGCCGTTCTAGTTAAAGGGAGCGGGCGGTTTTCTCGACTAGTCGCAGGCATTTGGCGTTTTCTTTGTCGCACAGGTGGCGTGGGCTCTTGTAAGCCGGTAGTTGGGGGTGCCCAGGGGCAGCCGTAGTGGGAGTGAACGTGGACTCGCTTCGGTAAACCTTTATTCCCTGTACCTTGTTTCCAGTTTCCGGGCCCGGCATCGTATTTCATGTTTGTCCCGGTCCACTCTCTTCCCTGAACTCTTCCCCCTTCTCTCCGGCCAGCTTTTGGCCGTGGTCCTCTTCTTGGTCTTCCAAAGAACCGTTGACCTCGGCGCGGCCCAGGTGCGACCTCCGGTAGGACAGGCCAGGCTGCGCCGAGTGTGGCCCGGGACCCACCTGGGAGCGTCTGAGGGAGAGCGGGATGGCGGGGTGCCGAGTGGGGAGGACCGAACCCTCCGAACGCAGCCGCGCGTGGCGGGCAGCTGGGTGCGGGGGGCCCGCGTTCCTGGTGCCGCATTGTGTGTGATGGCGGGGAGTGTGCCCCCAGAATACAGCTTCGGAGAAACCGCAGAGAGCTGTCCCGCACCCGAGTTCTAGAACGGAAACACTGGCTATATAAAGTAATCCGAGCGGGAGCACCTCCTTTCTCCTTTCATTCCCCACCCTGCAATCAGAGGCTTAATGAAAGAAGTTAAAAATTCGACCCAGTCACATCTCTGCTTAACGCTGGACACTAAGTTGGCTTAACAGCTGTCTTTTTCTGTTGTGAAAGTGGATGGTGGGCAAGCCGGGAGGATGGGCGTGTTGGAAGAACACGTGCCCAGGAAATTGTTTTGTGAAGTACCTTTCTAGCTGTGCTAGATACTAGAAATTCCGTGATGAAATTGTTTTTCTGGTCTTAGGCATACTTATAGAGAAAGTACAGAATAGGAAGGAGCTATGGGGACCTGTGAAAGGAGATAATTCTGTGCAACTTAGGGAGAATGGCCTCTGTGGAAATGTCACCAGATTTAGAGGGATGGCTATTTGTACTTAGCTTTGGGGGCTCAGGGAGCACGTGTTGCTCATACAAGTATGAGTGTGGCTGCCTATGAGACTTAACAAGGTTAAATGCAAGTATTTCCAGCTTTGTCTAGCCCTGTGCCTGGAGCACAGTGGTCCTTAAATGTTTCTGTGATATGATGTGTGTGTGTGTGTGTCTTGACTTGAAAGCTTGAAAGGATCATAGATGAGGCTGGAATGACTGCCTAGTAAGTTAAAAAGGAAATCCCCTTAAGCACATTCGGAAGCCTCCAGAGACCAGCAGAGCTCCTTCCTTGTCTAAAAGAATCCATCCACTGGTATTCAGCTTCAGGTTTTTATTTTTATGTGAGAACACTTTTTTTTTTCCCACAGATATTTCCAGTTTTCAAGAGAAGTTCTAAGTTGAAATGTATGTGAAATATCTTGATTTTTAAATGTGACAACTCAGAAAATGTTCAAAACACTCAGGATGAGTGCGTATAGGCTGTGTATAGACCTCCGAACTAAATAACAAGAAATTCAGATACCAAGTAGGGTGATTTAGTATGTGTTGGGAAGAGGAGTAGTGGTGGAGAGACTGCAGTGGTGAGTAAGATGGATTTCAAAATACAGAGATTTTGAACAAGGTAGCCCAGTTTGACATTCTTGAACTCTAGTTTCATCTGATCACTCCTGGTGGGCATTAAAGGAGTAAGGCATGATATTTTCTCAAGGATAAACTTCTAGAAGGGAATTCCTCCTTTTGAAGTCTTACCTATTTGTCTTGGCAGTACTTTACCTGGTATCAATGTTTCAAAATAGGTGTTTAAGATTTTTCCTGGTGTCCAATATATTGGTTTTATTATTATTATTGTCGGTCGTGGGGCTTGAACTTTGGGCCTGAGCGCTGTCCCTAAGTTCTTCACCTCAAGGCAAGGGCTCTACTGCTTGAGCCACAGAGCCACTTCTGGTTTTCTGGTGATTTATTGGAGATAAGAGTCTCATGAACTTTCCTACACACTGGCTTTGAACCATGATCCTCAGATCTCAGCCTCCTCAGTAGCTAGGATTACAGGTGTGAGCCACTGGTGCCCGGCTCAATATATTATTTTTGTTTCTGTGATGTTTCATTCATCTTGTTCTCTTCCTTTTTTCTTTTTCTCTTATAATACTTCTGTAGTGCCTCTCCCTTCATCTGAGTCCAGTCCTCATGTTTCTATGAAGAATAGATTTTTTTTTTGAGACATGGTCTCTTTGTGTAGCCCAAACTGGTCTGGAACTCATAATCTTCCTGCTGGCATTACAGGATTGTACCACTCTGCCCAACTTACAAGATCATTTTTTTTCTTCCTAATTCTTTTTAAAAAATTAAATATATTTTATTGTTATTATAAAGGTGATATACAGAAGGGTTACTGTTTGATTAGTCAGATAATGAGCACAATTCTTTTTGGGTAATGTCACCCCTTCATATGACCAGAGGCACAGAAATAATGTGCCTTTGTGTTCCTTCCCTAAGAGTATCCTCCTTTGGTCATTCTGTGTAGCAAGATCTCTTTTATAAGGAGATTTTACTATGAATGCCAACCTTGGAAGTAGAACATTTTATGTTAATTATCTCATTTAATTCATACTTCAACTGTATGAGGAAGGCATTTGTTGGTTAAGAATCTGGGGCTAAGGGTTTTCTGAATTAACAGGCTAAGATATAAAACTGGAATTCAAATCTCCATACTGTTGGATTGCAGAGCTCTCATGCCATTCCTTGCTGTAATCTTCAGGGTTCCCAAAGATGTTTCAAGCAAAAGAAATAGTTTGAGTAATAGGGGGTACAGAGATCTCCATGCAGGATATGCAGTGACATGATATATATAAAGCCAGGGGTCCAAATTGTTCTAAGCTTTTAAAATCAGTGCCATGTCTAATCTGGCCCATCAGTGGAAGCAACCATTCTGCAAATGGGACTCTAAATTCTAAAGATGCTGCCAGATGATTCTAGTTGAGAACTATTAGTCTGGTGCATGGAAAGTTATGGGGCAGGGACCCATAGAAGAAAATAGAAATAGTAGGAAATACTAGAAAAATAGGTTATGTTGAAATTATTTGTCCTACTTTGGTCTTTCGGATGTTTCTAAAACCATGTGTTATAACCTGCCGTTTTGGACATGTAAAATAATAACAAAAAACCTAAAACTAGATTTAAGAACAGTGTATCAATCAAACTGGAAATGAGAGTAAAATGTGTCTGGTACTATGCTGTGATGTTATTTTGGTATATACCTAAGGCATCATTAAGCCCTGAGGTGATAGGAAAGCTCTAGGACCAATAGTTCAAATTTAGGTGCTATTTTGTTTCCATATATAGCTATATAGACATATAGATATACACAGAGAGATGGGTATGCATGAGTATTTACAGTATCAAAAGCATTTTAACAGTATATTTTTATTATAACTGGTTTTCCTTTTAGTTTTCCTTTATTATAAATGGAGCTTATCCACCTCCCCTCCATATAGGTATGTACATTGGCTATTTAGAATATAAAACCATAAGGATCATAAAGTCTGCTAGGAGCTAGGTGGTTCAAGCCTATAATACTAGCTATTTGGAAGACAGATCAGATGTCACAGTTCAAAGCCACTCCCAGCATAAAAATTTGCAAGAGTCCATCTCAATCAATACAGTGACCCAGGGAAGCACAAGTAGGAAGATCAAAGCCCTGGCCAGTCTTGGTGTAAAATAAGATCCTACTTCAAAACTAACTGATGCAAAAGGGGACTGGAGGCATGTCTTAGATGGCAGAGTGCCTGCCTAGCAAGCAGGAATTGTTGAGTTCAGTCCCTAGTACTGCTAAAATAATTTTTATAGGGTTGATTTCAAACAAAAGCTTTAGTTGAAACTACTATTAATAACTGAGTATGATTCCTCATTTTAAATAGCTCAGTAGAATATCAGAAATTTTCCTATCTAGTCTTTGTGATAGCCTGGTTATTTAAAATTGGTAACATTAAATTGATGGGGAAGCTGCCCTTGTTAACAAGAGTTTTGTAAGCACTTTACTTAAATTCTTATCAACACCCACATTCTCTTTCTTAGAGAATAAAATATGACTTGAATTAGTTTGATGGATTTGATTAGGCTCCCACAGCTACGAAAACATAGGCTGTCTAATTCCAGAGCCCATGTTTTTAACAGTCACATGTAAGTCTTAACAATCACCTGCTAATTTGAACTTTGAGAGGATAGCTTTCTGGACCAGAACATGGAAATTAGATACAAAAGCAGTCTGGATCTAAGTGTTAATTTCTTGTAAACTAAGAATATTTTGGGGGTCAGATATCCAAAGGTTTTTGTTGTGAATGCCTGACTATGTAAAACATCCTGAAATCTTGGTACAAAATTTTGACTTAAGTAAAAATATAGTACTTCAAGGGTATGTTAACTGAGGGGCTTCCCAGCATTCATAGAGATGGTGAGCATCTCACAGAATTTTTGTGTTTCTATTTCTGAAATAAAGTGGTCTTGATATAATATATCATTGTGAACAATAGTTTTTTAGAATCAAGAACTCTGTTGATCATGAAGGTTACATTTAAGAAATATGTCAAGCTTTTTAAAGGTGAAAAATTTTTATATAAGTCCTTTAAAGCAACATTTGAGTACCTTTGTGGTACTTTCAAGAACAGTGGTAACTACACTATCAATAATAGGCTGACTATTATAGATTTAAAATAATTACCATGTCCTCGAATTTATGATCTCTCTGTCTCTCTCTAATTCAGTATAGTTGAAGCTTGCTACAAAAGATGGCAGATCCAGATGTTCTCACTGAAGTTCCAGCAGCATTGAAGAGGTTAGCCAAGTATGTGATCCGGGGGTTTTATGGCATTGAACATGTGT